GATCTACTGTGACTCGAGACCTCTGTCCTATTGTGACCTTTATGCCTAAACCTGTAGGGAATAGTTCAAACAATAGAACATACATGATAGATAACCCTTAGATAGGATAAAAGCGTATAACTATTATGAGCACTCATGGTCAGGGCAATAGCTAGTCAAAGACTGCCAAAGGTTAGGAAGATACTTCCCCTGGGAAATGACAATATGAATTTTCCTGCACCTTCCTCTGGGGCATCTGGAGCCAAGGATACTAGCTTAGATGGACCTCTGGTTTGATTAGGTATGGCAGTTCTAATATTTCTGTGAACATATGATAGTGTGGAAAAATACAGCTTTTACAGTTAATAGAAATGCTGCATAAGACAGGAAGGAGGCTTTGAACAATGATAAAATCCTTGTGATCTTTCAGCTGAAAAGCCAGTTGAACTTTGTGTAGATTCTGTTTCCACCCAAATCAACTGTGATTTCGTGCTGATTTCAGTAGGACCAAAAGAAAAACTGCAAAGAAGCCCCAGACACTGTTTTGTACGGGAGAGCACTCAGATGCCACAAGAAACTATATTTTATTTTTAATTTAAAAATAAAAATCCCTGTGGACCTGGGGTCTCATGAGATTTTCCAGAAAGCAAGGGTTGCACTTACTTCCTTCTACAGAAGGGAGAATTTGAAGAAAATCTTTTACAGCTCATGTGTGTCAGCCTCTGCTCTGTTTTTTACCAGCTCTTATTCGTTTAGTCTGTTCCAGCAGCTTCCAGCTGCAGTCTTGGACTCCAAAGACTGGCTTCCTGATCTTCAGCTACCTTGCTCCACAGAGCAGTCCAGGGACCAGGCATTCAAATGCAATTAAATTGCTCTCCAAAAGAAAGCTGGAGAGCAAGAAATAGTGTTGGCATGCTGCAGAAAAGCAGGAAGACAAAGAATCAACTGACAGCCTATATAGCATGAGTCTGGAGTCTTTGGCTAAAATGTGGAATTATACTGCATCTTGGAAAAAAAGTATGGTCAAAAAGAGCAGGCATGGAATGAAGGTATTCTTAAGGCCTTGGCATACAAAGTTTTCTCAACATCTGGATATAGACACATTGGTAAACTTTAACTATAAATTGCATTTTTAATAATATTGTCATAACCTTAAGACATGAATTCACTTTATTTTTATAAAACGTAGAAGTTATAGCTTGCCTTTGTCAGGTGTACATGTGAATTTATTTAATTAAACTGATTTTAAACCAAACAAGCAGAAAACTGTTTTTTGGATACATTTTGAGTTTTGCTAAGACCACATGTATTTCAGTACAGCCCTCATTAATTAGTTTAAGCAAAACAGCTCACTGAAACTGTATCCAGGCTCCACAGATGAGGATTTATATTCATTCAAAAAAATCTATTTAAAAATCAAGGAGATGCAGACTGGTAGGGCAAGGTCCTGTCACCCCAGCTGGACTGAACCTCAGCTCTGAGGGGACTCTGCTGGTGCATCCCTCTGCCCAAAGGGCTTGGACAGTGGTCACTGTTCAGCAGGGGATGTCTGCAGCTGCCACCTGCCTCTCTGCCCGCTTGCCCGGCTGTAGATGGGGAGGTGCTTCTGGAGCAGTACAAAGAATTTGCAGTGGGGAAAAAGCATTGTGGGACAGAAAGATAATGTATTAAACAAGGCCTAGAGATTGGCAAACCGCCATTTATGGCAGAAAATGCACACATGCACAAGCTATTAGTAGTCTCTCCTTCACATAGTGGAATATATGACCCGGTGCAGCCAAGTCTCAGATGACACCTGTTACCTACACCTGCCCTTGTATGTGGATATTCCTGATGTGCCACTCTTGATATGCCAGGGGTGGTGTACAATGGTGTTTGAAACTGAGACATTGCACATGACAAGTTGGATGGACAAGTTTTGCTGTTGTCTCCTCTCCTCTTACAGGGGCTAGATACAAAGCTTGCCAACTTTCTCTGTCTTAAAACTAATTAAAACAGTATTAAACAAGCTAGACAAACTGTAAGTAAAATGTTATTAATTGAAATATTTCTGTTTCCAGGAGCAGAACTTGTTGTGCTGGCTAAGTAATACAGCAGGCATTAGTGGTAAAAAGATTCAGCAACCTGAACTGAGATTCACCTGTGTAACTTAAACCATTTGTAGCCTAAAGACAAAATGAAAACTTATAGTTGGAAGAAGGAGGTACTTCCAAGCACAGCTCATCTGCCTTATTGCAGATGCCTGCTTTGCATAAGATTGAGCCATTCTCTAAGCCCCTGTGACTCAATCTCCAAACAGCTCTTGGTAGCTCAAAGAGACAACTAAGACACCAGCTCTCTCTGCTCCACTAAAGGAGTCACCAGAGCCCCCAGAAAAGAAAATATTTCTCTCACTGTTGCACTGAAATAAACCAAATCTATAAATATGTGTATTGTCATTATGCCCTATTGATAATCTAGCTAAGGGACTAAACAGTACTATCATCTACATATGTATTTAAAAAACACATGCCTTGTAAAATAATAGGCTGTCAGCAGTTCATGCCAATCTATTTAGCATGAACAGAGACAGAGATGCATTATAGGTAGAAAGCTGACACCAGTGGAGTTTCTATTTCCCCTATGACACTGAGCACGAACCTTGCCTCCAGACCCTTTGTCTTCACACTTCTCTGACACTGTTCCTTTCCCTGTGTTCCTTTTGTCTCTCTGCTTGTCAAACTGTTGCTCAGACACCTGCATTTTTTATACATTTCCTACCCAGTGCTTTGGAACAGTGCATTTTTGATCTCACAGATGTATGAACTGAGACATTGTATTGAGTTTACAGGGAAAAAAAGGCAAATACATATTCAGAATAAAATAAAATATCACAAGCTGTTTCCTGAAAAGTATCTACTCTGTGCAAATAGAGATTTTATTTTTTCAAGACAAAGCAAAAAAATTCCTTCACACCTGAAAACCATGATTTATTCTATTTGAATAAAAATTATTTTTTTTAATACAAAGCAATGTACATAGCATTAAAGCAAAATAGCATGTTTTGATGATATGTAAAAGAAAGCTAAAGAAACAAGGGCTATGATTCACAAAACTGAGGTGGGACCCACACTCTTAAACAGGGGTGGAATTCATGCTGGGTGAGAAGTGTGTTCAGTTCCCTTTTCTTCATGTTAATAGAACATAAACCTGTATTAGCCTAGTCCAATGCCTCCTCTTAAAAATTCTTTTGTACTGACGGACAACAAGGCAGACAATCTGATACCAAATACCTAGAAACAAGAGACCTATGGATCGATGCAGGTCCAAACATTGGTTCTGCAGAAAATGATTAAAAGCTAAAATAAACAGTAAAGTTAGTGGATAAAAAACCTGAAATGACAGAGGGGATTCCTTCAATAAAAGGAAAAAGTTAGAGCTTGTTTCTTTACATGGTCATTCACGAAAGCTGTTAAAAAAGCCCTAAAGTGCTTGTAATAAAAAACAAGGTCTTCAGATCTTAATTAGTTGAAGAGACACGACAATTAAATGGCTAATTCTAAAAGAGAAAGGAGGTCCCAGAACAGTATAATAAATGCCTATGGAATGATGAGTGGTATGATAAGGGTAAATAAGGAATGACATTTTCTCCTCCAGTTTAGGAACTAGTGAGAATGAAATAAAGGGAGTAGGTACCAGCTTCCAAATTAACTGAGAGCGGTAGTTCTTCATACAAATTGAACAACAGAAGCTGTTGGATGCTAGAAGTTTGCCAAGGTCACCAGCTAAACTCGTGTCTATAACCAGTGACTTAAACATGAGACAACACTGTTAATGAGAGTCCCTGAGCCACAATGTTGGAGTTTTTTTGAAATACTAAATGTATTTGTTTGGTCTTTTCTCTTGCCTTCTTCTTGAACTTCTTTCTTTTGCTGTCCATTTGCGTGGTGTGTTACCAACCTGCAGAATCTCTGCAGCACTGTTTCTCTCAGGGCAGAAAAGGTAGTGGATATCTCTCAGGAAGAGTTAAATTATTAGTCCAGGTACATCACAGGTGAACACTGCTATGGTAGAGTAGGGTTTAGCTTAATTTTTTTAAGCATAGTGCTTATAAAGCCAAGGTTGTAAATTCAATCCCTGTATGGGATATTCATTGAAGAGCTGAACTTGATGATCCTTGTGAGTCCCTTCTAACTCAGAATATTCTGTATCACTTGTATGGCTGCTTTAAATCCAGGAGGAATGTGAGCTCATTTCCATAATGCTGCACATCCAGAGCTACTCTGACCCAGCTCAGGTGACTCAAAGGCATTTTTCTTATTCTGGATGATACTCATAAACTATTAAAAAGAGTGTATATGTACTAGTCTAGTCCACACTGAGTCTAGCTGCCATTGCAGAGGAGAGAGCAGTGATGCAAGACCGAAGGCCTTGAAAGGCTCTACTTCCAAATACTGACATTGCACATAGGAAGGAATACCCCAGGGCTGGTGCTCTAACCCAGCCTAGGGACTGTCCCCAGCAGTACAGGACACTGGGAAAATCTTTCCAGCAGGAACCTCAATCTCAGGCCTCATTTCCATGAGCTGGTCAGGATGGGTTTGTGCTGTTTTCACTACTATCCTGTCACTCTTGGGCATTACATGATTCCCTATATTCATTTATGTATTGTGAATAATCTTGAATATTTCAGACATTTTGATGTGAGATTATAGGAAGTTGGTGACTTAGACTTCTCATTTTTCCTAGTCCCATTTACCTTTGAATGATGATAATCCGAAAGTTGTTTCAATATTTAAGAAGCAATTTTATGTGTGGAAGAAAGGGTACTTTTCCTAAGAACAGCTGAGACAGGATTTTACTTTAAATTTTTTTTTAAAAAGCATTTCTACTTGTCTGACCAGTGTAGCTGATTCTAAGATCACATGCAGGGAAATAGCAGAGTGCCACAAGCACTACATTTTACACTATGTAAATGCTCCCAAAATGGAGGAAGTGGAAGTGATTAATTAAGTGAGAAGCTTTTGTTATGATTCTTTTAGGTTTTAAGGGTAAAAAATTGAGAATGGATCTCCTTAGAGAGGAAGGAGAGAGAATGGCACATCTAAAGGATGCAATCTATCATCCTAAACATTGGTAAGTGACATTTCCTTAGGCAGCTGACGGCTAAATATGTCTAGGTTTTTCAACTTGTGCTAGTAGAAGAAAGAAGGAGTCTTATGCCCTCATTTTTTTTTAAAAAGAATAGCTACAATTCAGTGAGCATAATCTGGTACACAAGTTTCTTGTAGAGTTGTACTAACACGCTCATCTACATAGCATTTTCTTTCCTGTGTGCATATTTTGAAAGGAAAGTATTTTTGGTTTGCTTGTTTCGTGTATGGGTTTTATGGTTTTTTTTAAGAAGTCTGTGGTGTATTAGAAAGCATCATGTGCACAGAGGAACTGCAGCCCTTCCTGTAAATTCAGCAAACTGGTTTATGCTGAAAGCAACCCCTGAATGATTTACCTTTTTCACAAAGAGAGGTGAAGAGAAGGAGAGGGGTGGGAAAACAACAGATTTTTTAAATTATATTAACACTCACTACCTGCAAAAGCATTTGTAGAGAGTTACCCAAATCTCCTGTGGGCATTTCAGCACAAGTCCAATACAGAAATATACCAGAAAGGAATGACTAGTTGATTGGGCTACAGGCCAATCTCAGCTACAACTGTATGGTATCATAAAACACCTTGGCCCCTTCCACAAGAAGAAATAATCAAGTCTCCATGATACTGTATTCCTGAGGAATGTGGTTTTTCCAGATAAATTTCATTTTCTGAGTCACTGTTAATTTTCTTCAGGCCTACATACATTTCACATTCCTGTTAAGGCAACACCTTAAGAAAGTATTGAGATGGTCAGAAAGCAATAGGAAAAGAATGCTAACAGCAATTACTTCCTCTAAAAGACACCCACGGTTGCTTGGGTGTTTTAAAAATGTGACAGGTTAGATTCAGCCAGGAGGCTCAGTGAGCCAACCAACACTCTCCTTGGTTTCCTCTCCAGAGCAGAGCCAGGAGATCCCCAGACATGTCCCGCCAGCAGCTCACACCACTGCCTCCCTGTCCTCTTCAAGACTCTGTCCAGCTGGGAATGAATATAGTGTCTTGTTACTGAAGTTATTGCTTTAAGACTCACCACTATTGACAAGTCAGTAAAAATCCCTTCCCATGACTTATTCTAAAAACAGAAATTTATTAAAAAAACATCCCAAACAACTATATATTGCTACATAAAATTGTTGCACGAATTATTTTAATTAAGTGATTAAGAATGGGCACAATATTATCTCCATGTGTTATTAGAATGCACAGCAGTAGTTCAATGCTTACAATGATTTACACTTGTGTTGGAATATTATTCATGAATTGGGAATTTAAAATACCACTCAAACGTGCCTTCACACAGTTGGCCAAATAAAGCAAAGTTGTTCAACAAGGGACTTCTGTGTTAGAGACCTTGAAAATAATGGCTTAACAGTATGCTAACTTGTTGAAAAGAATCTCATCAGAGGTCTGTCCAGCTATGACATGTTATGGATTTACTTTGGACTGAGCCAATGGGCTGAGGTGTGCCACCGAGATGAAGGAATCCAACTTGAAAGATATATATGTCTGTTTTAAGTAGGAATGTTCATTCATTAGCTCACTGCTCCATTCACTAAGCTGTGTGCAAACGTCTGCACCAATGAATGATTCAACACAGACGCCTTTAAAGCACCACGCAGCAGCAACAACCAAGACTCATCCTGACTCTCCTGGTGAGACAAGGAAGCAATTTCTTCCTGGTTGCACTGGGAGCCTTGAAAAGGAAGAATACAGGCTATACTGCAAAAAAAAAAAAAATCTTTAACCAAATGTAATAAACATTAATATTCTCACAATCCTCCCACACATCTTCAATGTTATGAATTTATTCTGGGGGAGCAAGGGATAGAAGAGGTGAGTCGTTTTGAGGTGCAGGCTGAGCAAAACTGTCCAGAACAGCAGCTCCAGGGGCCACTGAAATAATATACAAGCTTTCACAGTGCAAAGTATGCTAAAGTGGGTCATACAGTATATTTCCAGATGTTCTCACCCCCAGTATTTTCTAATGATATAGATGAAATCCATAAAGACTTCCTGTATGAGGCTACAACTGTGTAAAAAATGAATAAAACCTGTGCAGAATAATTTATAAGGATGTAAAAACAGAGCAAGTAAACAAATAAACAAAATCACACAGTTCCAGTATTTAGAAGTGAAATTGGTAAATTTTCAGGGTTAATTAAATAATTTATAAAAGCTCACAGAAAGCCTTTTTTTTTTTCCATCTGGAAAGTTTCCAAGCTCAAAAAATATTCTGACTAGAAGAAAAAGTTTAACAAATACTAAACACTGGCAGAAGAAGCACAAGAGGAAACAGAGAAAAGACCAAGCAATATAAATGGTCAAAACTCTCAGGTAAAGTACAGTGAAATGACTGCCTTCTTGGAGAAGCCTTCAATTTGTCATCGTCGAAGTAATAAAGTGTCTGTAATGAAGATTGTCAAGCAGTCATTTTTGTAATCAGTCCAAGAAGCACATATGTGTTTTAATAAGTGGGCTTGAAATATAAACAGGGGCGTTTTCTCAAAATGAAGCAGAGCATAAACCATATATGGTTTAGGTCACTGGAGAGAAGCCTGCCTGCTTCAGTAGAGAAGATAATGCATCAGATAACATTATGTACCAATTTGAGCCAACAGTTGTACTTTGGCCCATATGTGTGGAGCACAAAATATAATGCACATTTGAATCTATGGGCCTTCCCAAAGATTGCTAGATGACACTAGAGGATTTATGTTTCTTAAATTAATACATGTGCCATTGCTGCTTTATAAGGCGCTTTCTCATCACAGACCTAAATGCCTTCTGTTTGAGAAAAACCAAACCAAACCGACAAAACAAAACCAACCAATCAGACAAAAAATCCAAAACCAAAACCTAAAACCACCAACCAACCAAAAGAAGAAAACCAAACCTCAAAGTGTTAATACCTGTAGTCTTTCCTTGCTCTGTTGTAGCTGTTAATATACACATTTAGCAGTGGAGTAGACTGAAGTGCCTGTGGAGAACCTGTGTTAAGAAGGACAGAAGATCATAAACACATATGTGATACATTTGTATAAGGTTTTTTTTTTCTGTCAGACTCATCTGCACTCCAGCTCTTTTTAGAATAGCTGAAATAAAACTTTCTGTGCCTCCTTGGTGCATATGACCATATCTAAAACTCTGCAATTTTTGCAGTGTTCACAGAGTTTGATTTACTTACTTTAAAATTAATTCAAACTCATTAATCAGTACAAATTACACAACAAATTAGACTGTACTGTATTGTACTTAGCAAAAAATTACTTGAATTGTACAGAGTAAGGAAGTTAAGGGCAGGCTAAGTATCAGAAATACGGTCTTTTAATTGTTAGCAAAGCATTAAAACCAGCAATACTTTCTTCCCTTATTTAATATAATTTTCCCATCCCATTGTGTTTTTTATTGTGATACTGGTATTTATAGCACATTAGTGTTTTCCTTTTCAGCCCCATGTATACCCTAGTTGCATTTTTCTGGCTGATTTTATACCCATGAGATACCTTTTAGTCTTCTAACTTGACCTGCTATACAAACTATAGACCAAGGCACAGCAATTTCTGCATCAGCTGTACTATCTGTTCTACCCTGCATATCTTTTTGGGAGATATGTTACATCTCAGTTAAAGAACTGCAACAGATGGAAAATTCAGCACATTGCTGGGTAAGAATTTGTTCCAAACATTAGCTACTATCACTTGATATTTGTGTTCTGTTTCCAGCTCAGAATTGTCAAAATTAAATTTCCAGCAGTTCCATCTGCAACATTAATTGGATTATGATCAAGTTACAAAAATAACCAAATATTAAAAATCAACTTTAGATACCTTGTAAGACTTCATTTGTAACAAAACTGGTCAAGAAAATAATTTCAATGAATGGCCTTACAGATTATGGTGAAGTCTCCTTCTAGCCTTGAGTAAACTGGGTTTCTTCAGTTTCTCAGGATGAAGCACATTTCCCAGACCTCATACCTTTCTTGCAGTTTTCTTCTGAGCCCCTTCTAGCTTGTAAAGGTCCTTGACAAAGCATAAATGCTAGAACTGGACAGAGTATTCCAGGAATGTTCTCACTAATGACATACACAGATGGAGTATCACCATCTCCATCCGTATGCCATTGGTTAGACATAAAAGGGTTGCATCTTACATTTTAATCACAGATTTCTTCTTGCAGCTTACCTTCAAATTAGTATTTAAGTGTTTTCTAGAGGACTCAGATTTCCCAATCATAATTGCTATGTAAATTCTTTTTCCTTTGGTCTGTTTTGATCACAGAAAAATATTGTGTTTTAATGAATTTATTGCAATGAGCACTCCAGACTAGCTCATACTATCACCATCATGAATTGTTCATCAAATGATTTTGTCACTTGTAAGTTTTTTTATTGATATCTGACATTTTCCAGACGTTGCTAAAGATGCTGCATGGCATTGGATAAAGAACAGGTCTTCACAGGACCATGCTAGAAATATTTTCCCTTCCGTGACTATACCTCATCTATACTTATTTCTTTACTACCTCCATTTTAGTCAGTCTTTTGTATGATTTTTAACAGATTTTTCTTTTAAAATATTGGCATTAATTAAGTTTTCTTCAATTTCCCCAGCATTCTGTAATTAAAAAAATACCAGTACACTGAAATAAACTACCGTAGCTTGCATCAAATCTATTGTCTGATCCTGCCTATTTGAAAAAAAAAAAAAAAAACCATCCAGCATTATTTCTAGCTACTGATGGGGTGTAAAATTCTTCTCATTAGCTTTAAGGTAGAAACAGATCTTCCTGCCTTTTCTGACAAAAGAGATATGAATGAGCAAATCTGCCTTTTGCCTATTGTGATCCATGTTTTTACTATCCTTGCTGAGAACAGGATATAAACCATTACCAAGATCTCACTTTTTCTTTATATACTTCATGTATTGTTTCTTATTTCCCTCCATCCTCTGCAGAGTTTTTTAAAGATATTTTCAGCTTCCTGTATCAATTGTCCATATTTCCCCAGAGTCAGTTTTAAATTCATTGCTATTACTCTTGTTTTTAGTTGTATGAATTTTTATTTCTGACTTCATTTTCCCCTCAACCAACAGAATATTTTTAGGTTAAAGATGCCTGTTAAGAATTGCAAAGTAATGTGTCTTTTCACACTGAATTTATCAAATCTGAATTATATTTCATATTTTCATGTGTAAGTGTTTCCTGACATAATTTTGCTCACAGTTTTTCTCAGCCTTGGGAAAACAGTTTTCTAAAAGGCAAAATATATACATTACTAGTAAAGTACTGCCAAGGCAGATATTGGCAAAGTATACAGATGTTTCTGATGGGAAAAAACTAACAATCTTGCTCTTCCTTTCCACAAAATACACATCAAAATAAAGTTAATTCCAGACATACTCTGGGTTGCTGGGGTTTCTTTTACTCACCAAATTAAATTAATAATGTTTGGCTTGATTTTCAAATAAACATTAAGCAGTTTAATTCATTGCTGGCAGTGATTTATCCAAAGGAAAGCTGTAGAGTGCTTTAGAAGTTAACCATAAACTCTAGATCTTTTAGCCTGCTCAAACTCATGTCCTCTGAGATCTCAGAAAAGTTCCTTTGTCTCTCTGTGCCTCAGTTTCCCACCAGGAAGACTGCAATAACAGTTTTCTAAAATAGACACATATTATGTACATATGCACAAAATTATGTGATGCCCAGGAAAGTATGCTGAGAAAAACATGTAAGTATCTCTGATTATAAAAAACCCCACTTAATGGACCCATAATAAGACTAAGTCCAAAACCATCCTAAAACTGTATAACTGTATCTAGTGTTCCTTTGCTATTTCCTTTTTGGAAAATACAATTTGGAAAGGGCAATTGTGCCTCTGTTCCACTTCAGAAGTTCTGAACTATTTTTTTTTTAAATTTTGAAATTTAATTTTTAATTTTGAAATTAAATATTGCATACATATTCAATTTTTAATTTCCTTTCCTTGTATATTAAAAATCTCAAATTAGGAAAAAATTGCTTAGTATTTTCTATGTTTTTTTAAAGGTTGTATTAGTAGCATGATTCATTCAGGCATCTTTAGATTTTTTGACTTTTCAGTGAATGGCACAAAAACAAGCTTAGTGTGGTGCTGTCTGAATCTCTAGCTGAAGCAAAGAGTTCGTATAGGTAGCAGGTGACAGCCTTGTTAAATAGGCTGAAGAACAGAACTTAGTTCTTTCAAAAGCAGTAGTGCACTGGGATTAGATTCACTTAGAATTAACAGCCCAGTAATGATTTATGTGCTTTGACAAAAAAGAATGATCACTCAGGGCCCTACTGATACTGTCTCTTGGAGATTAACCAGTGGAACTGAAAAGAAAATATATATTTTTAGAGAAAAGAAAAATAGTCACTGCAAATGTGAAACTTGAAGGCTGCTACAAGCTTTAAATTCCTCCGTTTTGTAGCTGATCTGACAAACAATTTGGTCTTTACACATTTAATAAAACTGCATGTAAGACAGTGATTAATTGTTTTGCTCAGGCCAGCAAAGTTGTTTCCTTCATTGCTGCTCCCGATGCAACTTGCTCACATTTAGGTCTCACATCATGATCTCAAAATATTTTTTCCTTTACAAAGAGAGAACATTTATAGATACATCTGATATACAAACATTTCAGTTTTGAAAGGAAAAATTCTGAGTAATTTCCCACCGATTATTACTTAATTCAATTCAGATCAGAATATGTATAATCTACTTCTAAAATACACAAGTTCAAACCCAAACATCTTAGACCTTAGCAGCTGATCCAGATTTTGAATGCTGAAGTGCTAGAATTTCTGTTCCAGCTTGAGGTTATAGGCAACAAAGTACTGAGAACTTCAGTTCACAGGGGGTTCTTGTGTATGTATGTGTGTGTACACCTAATTTTCACAGATTAAATAAAAATTAACTTATAGAATCAGGAATTTGATTACAAATATCTACACTTATGGATTTTTCTGCTCAGCTAAAAACACCTTATTAATTTTAGTTCACTAAAACACAACCCAGCTGTAACTTGACCCATTTTGAGTAGCTATACTTAAAACCGGTGTTATGCTTTCAGTACTAAAGACTGATAACTTGATAGCTCCCCAGGGTTTGTTGGTTACAGTTTAAGTACAGAGTTGACATTACATGCTATTTTTCTGAAAATCCCAGCAGTGATATTACGACTGAGATACCAGTAATTGAAGATATAGTCAAAGATTGTTAGAGTGTGGATATCTTCAAACATACAGTATCATTCACTAACCTGCAATTTCACTCATTTTCAGGTCTTTTCACTCTTATGAAAATGGAACTGTAAAACCAAAAGAAAACAGCAGTTCAGAATTACCCTCTGGGCCAAGACAAAACCAGCCTGGATTCTCTCACCCTTACTCACAGTGAGCAGTAGGTTACTCTGCGAATAGGTCTCATTATTTAAATATGAATAAAGGTCATCTAATCTGGTGCTCAGGGATTATATAATAATTTTTATCGGTATTTTCTCAACATTTTAGAAAATATGCACAACTCACTCATTCTGGTTTCGCGTTTGAGAAGCTGGAGCAGAGCTAGATCAAATGAGTTATCCTATACCCTTCAACAAGGTAAAGGAAGCCAAAAATATAACCTCATTTATTTTCTGAATGGATTTCCACGGAACAGGGTAGCATTCTATTAGATTTTTTCTGTTTCTGCACCATTTCCAGAAAGCTCTATTTCTAAGAAAATATGTCTACTGTATCTGTTTTTATTAGCAATTTTTAGACCATCACTGGATGCAAGCAATGATTCCTGTCTGATCCCAACAAACTCTTATTCCAAATGCAGAAGAAAAAAATTATCACAGGTAGCAAATCTATGACACTGAATGATTTAAGGCTTTCATGCAGATTAATGGAGTGTTTTATTCTATTTCCCAGAATTTATGTGTTTGTTTTCTCATAATAAAGGAAGTTTCTAGCTTCTGGTTGTGAAGATAGCCTTGACAATGTAAACCAACATACTTTCATCTTGTTGAGTCTTCATCCTCACCAGCTAAAACAATAGCATCAAGCAAGTTAACTTCCCCCATTCATCTTGCCAGGGTGTCAACCTTGAAGCAAAACATGCACACTTAAGTACCAGCACAGTTAACCAATTCAGTGCTTATTATCAGATTAGAAATTACTAATCAGCGTAATTAGACAGTAGGCAAGAAAAAATTGAACACACTATTGATAGGAAAATAGAGAACAGTCTACTAATTTAAAAATGTATTTTTCTAGAACAACTATCTACATAAAGCTGTACCCTTGAGTTTCGGAATGCTTTCTAAACATCTTCTTCTGCATATCTAAACCTCTCCCAAACTGTGACTCTGAAGATTTCTTTTCTAATCCCTACCTCTAATCTTGGTGCTCTATGACCAATTGCTGCCTGACTGCCAGGTTCCTCTGCCATGGCAGGGATTTAATTTATATCTTCAAGTCCTCTGAGAGAACATTAAGAAAGAAGTATTCTAAATTGGGCCAAAAGGACATAGATGCACATTTATTCTGAATTGATTGAAACAACCAAGCAGAAAACATATTAAAAACACTATACTAACACCATCCTCATAGTATTGCAAGGATGAGAGGAGACAATGTGACCACACAAAACCTGCCGTCTCTTCTAAAGCATCCCAGATAAAAGTATTTTCTAGTTATTATACACCACATTTTCTGTTTAGAAAGAAAAATACATTACTGATTGCTTCTGCAATGCTTACTGCATCCATTTAACAGAATAAGAAACAGACATTAGGCTAAAAAACATGATTCAGCAGGAAGGCAGTGGCAGAGATGGGAAAGGATGCGAAGTCCCAAGACAGCTCTCAGTTTATTAAATCACTCTGCCTCAGCTCAGGTAGCATCTTAAGCAGACACTGCAAAGCCTGTTAACAGCTGCTTGGAAGAAAGCTTATCTGCCCTCTGGCCCCTCACCTTGAATGACTGAATTAAAGCATGAACCCAGAGCCACAGCATCAAACACAGAGGCTGCATCCCAAGAACATGGCTTATGTTCTCTGCCACAGAGCAGGACCAGGAGCAAGTTGATGTAATTAGTGCATACAGCAAGTACCTGATTCCCAGGAGTTTCCCACTTGCCATTTCTTCTTACTTGCATTCTTTTGCTGGGCATAAATTTACTGGCAGCTTTTTTCAAACTTTTTTCTTCTCACATCTTCCTGTCTCCAACTCTGTCTTGAGGCCTCTTTCAGCTCAATATTTTTTACATTGGAAATGCAGATAAAAACCTAATAACCTTTAAAAAATTCCATAGTATGAGGACAGGAGATGTATTCCCTGCATAATGAAAGTGAAAACACTTGGAATGGATTTTTTTTTCAGAATAAAAATGTATTTTCTGACACAGTTCTGAGAGAACAGTTATGATGTTGTGTTTATTGAGATTCATTTACTTGCCATCATGACAGCACTTAATTAAAGTCCATGTGGCTTTAAATTATGGGAAGCTTATCAAAACCTCTAAATTTTAAAAACTGTATGTAGTTGGCTTGGCAAACATTTACCTATTGCACAGAGATTCTTTTTAATAGTTCTCTTCAGAAAGTGCTTTTCACTTTCAAAGCTGCCCAGGTATTTTGTGAATGCATTTACATTTCCATACCTAGGGGAGTGTGCAGAAGCTGCATTTGGAGTGAAGAGCTTTAACGAAGGCAGAAGAAGAGGATACCAGAGTGGCAGTGATCCCAAGCCGCTCACACACTGATGTTCAGGACAGCACATGTGGGTGCCACATGAGCAGGTGAAGCTGTGATTCTAGCTGTGTGGAAAGGCAGATAATAATTAAGCGATCAGATGTGCTAAGTGCATCATGCTGGGACATCGCTCCGTTTCACATGGGTTGAGAGGTTTGAAACTGAAGGCATTAAGTGAGGAAGTGGCCAAGTTACAGCTGCAATCCTAAGGTTTTCCTCGCTATCCCTGGAGCACCACGGTGCCAGTCTTGTCCAGACACACTCCGGGAGCGTGCCAAGAGCTTTTCAGCCTAAGGAGAGCGTTTGACATCTTTCAGCTGCTAAGACACAAGGATTTGGGCTCTGGATACATTCCAGTGCTCCTCTCCTGTACGCGTGTACTCACTGCGGCTCTCCCTAGCCACCGCCCCGTGCGGGATTCCCAGCTGCCGCCTGCTCCGGGATGTTGCCTCGTCCCTTGCAGCGCGGGGTCCTGGCGGGCCGGGACCGGGACCGGGACAGGGACCGGGACCGGGATCCGGACCGGGATCGGGATCGGGATCGGGATCGGGGCTGGGACCGGCCCGCCCGGAGCAGCGCCCCGCCTGGCGCAGCCCCGGGGCACGGCGCCGCTCCGCGCGTTTCCATTGTAGCTTCTTACGGCGATGAGAAGGCTCAGCATGAAGCCCAAGAAGCTAAAACCTGCCCTTGCAGGGCTTTAGGAGCCGTGAGGTGCACACCAGTACATGCTTCTGCATCCTGGCTTGTCCTTCCATCACCATTTCTATTAACAGTCTTTTCCTGGACCTTTTTTTTTTTTTTTCAATATTGTTAAAGTTAAGCAATTATTAGTATTATTAGTATTATCATTATTAGTATTATTGTTGTTGTTGTTGTTATGGTTATCATTATTGTTATTTCTTTTGAGATAGAGTCTCACGATCTGGAGAACACAGATTTAAGCTTTGCACTGCAAGTGAACTATTAACCTGAACTGCACGGAAATGTTACACCAAACAGCCATACATTTGTTCAGCTGGTTCTGGCCCTTTTTAAAGCCAAACCGAGATAGTTTCTCAAGAAGAGAGAGAGCAGGGGGTCACAGAGGGCACCCTCCCCTCGGCTCCCAGGCCCTGACCTGAGGAGCAGCACGGGGCCCTCTGGATTCTCCCGCCTGACACGCCCGGAGCTGCTGGGGACACCCGTGTGGCCACACAGTCACACCCCTGCGTGGCTCTGTGCTTCCAGACTGCCATTCCACACGCAAAAGTCTGAAGGGAAAATAAACAAACCTACCCTCCCGTGGATTGAAAGTCACAGCTTGCACCATGGGGCTCAGCCTCTGGGAACGCTCCTCCTTTTGCTGCTGCCACTGGCAGTTTGTGGCTTGCATAAATTGCTTCTCTTGAACGACTGCTTCCCTTTCCATCAGGTCTGAGACATCTGTATTTTAAACTATAAGCTCTTCTGGGTGAGGATGATGTCTGTCTACACCCTTGCAGTGTTTAGCACAGCAACCCCAATGTCTTGCATCACTTCTAAGACTTTCAGTCATACACCACTAGCAGTAGATGCACACTGGTAAATGTATTTACACCACTGGCTCCAGTTGAATACAAAGGAGCTCAGCACTTTGCCCCTCCTGATAGAAATCTTGCAGAGCATGAGCTCATGCTATTTCACAAACCACCTGCCTTTTCTGCCATGTGTAGAACTGACTACTAGGAATCCCAATGTGTTTTATGTGTTATTAATAAAGTTAATATTTTTATGAAATACTACTCCAGTCCGGGATTCTCACACAATCTTGAAAGCAATAATCAAGAAAAACACTTTCTGTCACATTATTACAAGTCAGTTGCAACAGTATAGAAGACTCGGGTAGCAAAATGCCATGTTGACATCTTTCCAGTATGGGAAATTTTTTCCATGTTTTTTTTTTTTTTCCAATTCAACTTATTGCAAAACAGTTGCTTTCTGTAATATCACAGATTTATGCAGAGTTTACAATGCAATCATTGCTCCTTGCTATTGAAAAAGATTTATTTAACCAGTTTTGGCCTTCATTCCAAAAGGCTGAATGCCAAATCATTACAGTGTATCTGGTGTTTTGCTGTCAGAAAATATGATCTAGCATTAAGATACTATTCAGATACTCTAAAAGCCAGAGAAAATAATTGTGGTAAATCAAAACCTCATAAATACTTTATAAAGTTGTTTTTAATCTCTGTCCTCATGTGTGACAAAAAAGTACCAGTTTACATGCAGCCAGAATACATGAATTTTTAGGCTTCATTTCCTATACGGTCTGAGTTTTAAAACAACATTAAAATCCTTTCCGTATAGATGCAAAAGTCAGGCAGTAGTTGTCACATTATGTTTTCTAGTACTACTGCAGTTTAATAAGCCAAAAAAGACAGCAAACCACTTCTCTAGACTTAACTCCAAATGACGTCTTTGCTTTTTTTTTTAAAAAAAAAAGACACTGAGAGGCTAAGAAACATATATATGGCTCTGAAGCTGAAGCCACAACTGTGCAAGCAGATACAGACAGGCAGCGCTCTATGTGGTTAAAGAAAAGCACATGCCAGAGACTTGGGAGCAGCTGGCCCCGAATTTTGGCCTCAGCACACCATGTAAAATTGAACATATGCGTGGACTA